TCTACAAGTTAGGAAGTAAGTTTGTAATGCGCGATCTCAGTTAGGAATTTTGAGAAGATGGCAAATAATGAAAGTTTTTAATAATATCACAACTATCTTTCCTTTCGAATAGAGCAAACTTTTAGACTTTTAGACACTTAGGTCTAGTACAAAGGTCAAATTAAATATTGTCTTAATTGAGGATAATATTGAATTATCATTTTGCGCCTAACATATTGCTTACATTCATCCGATTTTATTATTTCTTTTCCTTCTTTTTTTTTCTCTCAAAATTCTCTCCGAATCTCCTTCCTTTCTCCATTTCATCGCATAAATTAACAAATTTTGGTGACAATATCAAATCAATGACAGTTCTGGAATTTAATGAAGAAAAAGGCATGTCAACTTTGATGTACAAATCGATTACATCTTTCAGTTTTTTTCTTCTTATTTCTATCTAAAATGCAATAAGTTTGTTCAAACATCCATAAGAATACTAGTTGGATCAGTGTAATTAACAAATGATAAAGTACCGGTTGATATTTTACTTTAAACTCACTTTACTTCGCCTTGAACTTCACTTTTCTTTACTTCAACCTTGCTTTACTTTAGCAAATTGAAAGATTAATGAATAATAATTAGCTCCAGTTTACTATCATTTAATAATCAACTAATCATACTATTTCAATTTTTTAGATTAAAGAAATTTAATTATGTAATTCGATAAATTTATTTCTTTTGTAAATTTTAAAAAATTTAATAATAAGTTGCATTATTTAATGATTGATAAGCATGTAATTTTAGTAATTTTACTAAAAAAAAGAAATGATGAAAAAGATTTTCAAAAAAATTCACTTCATTTAAAACTTCTGTTCTTCATCTTGTTTGTATGTGCTTTTTTTTCGATCTTTAGCCATTCGGATACTTATTTATCCATTCAGTTAAATGCTTTCTTTAATTTTGAAAGTGTCATTAACAATGAATCAATTTTTCAACAAACAAAAAAGACTTTTAAAAAAGTTAAAAATGTTTTAAGGCATTGTTTTTGTTTTGATAACTTTTCTATTTAGAAAATGCTTTTTTTTATTTGTCCATTTTGTTGAAAAATGTTTAACTTTATGCCGTTATAAATGAGAAAATTTTCATTGTAATGACTATTTCGATAGATAATTCGAAGGTCAATCATTGTCAAATTAGTAATTTCAAAAAAAAAAACTTTCCTCTCTCTCTCTCTCCTCTCTTTCTTCC